TTTTGAAGAATAAAATACCTCATTTACTTTTTCTTTTAAAAGTAATTTTAGCAATAAATACTAAACTTGTTTTTTATAATAATAAATATTTTAATTAAATGTGGAAGTGGATATATTTATAGAATTGGAATTAGAATTGGAATTGGAATTGGAATTAGAATTAGAATGAGATGGTGGAGGTGTGAAAGGATTTTTTCGAGGGGCATGTGAAAGAAGGCAACAAAAGTGGTGTGGTGGTCGCATTGAAAGACGCAATTTGATTTCGTCTTTCATTTCTATCTCTCATTCTCATTCTCATTCTCATCTCCTCCAAACCCCTTCTTCTTTGCCTCAAGAATCTCATTAATTGATTCTTCGTTTTCTTCATATATATGTATAAAGTGAAAACACAGGGGTAATCTCATCATAAACCCGTTTCAAGATCTTCTAATGCTTACATAGATCCATCGCTCGTCGTGTTTTTCAGGTATGTTCTGCGATACATCCTTAATCGATCATCCTTTGGAATACCCAATTTCAGTTTTGTGTTTTTTCCCCTCAAATTTCTCAGAGGATTTTGTTTTTCTCTTCTTTATTTTGCTGGGTTTTACCTTTTAATTTTGTCTTTTTGTATCTGTTTCTGGATTGAAACTTGTTTTTTTTTGTTTTTTTTTTACTTCGTAAATAAGTATGCATCATATGTCTCGATTGTTTGACTGTTTCAATCGCTTACTTTCGCCTCCCATTTGATAGTGTTGATGGAATTCTTTTTGATGTTTGATGGGTTGTTTTAGTTTATTCATGAGTTGATTGCAGATCCATTGGTTTTGATCCATGTTGAATTCTAAAGGGATGAAACTGGGTTAGTGGTTGTTTGGTTTGCTTCCATTATTACTTGTTGATGTACACCTGTTTCTTTCTGTTGCTTCAAGTTTTGACATGCATCCACCTAATTTAGGTCTGGGTATTGACCATTTTGGCAATTAATAGATTCACAATTGTATGTGTTGATTAGTTGTTTGTTATGATAATGTACCAGTAACTTTGAAGATACACACATGACCTTATATTATTAATAAACATAAACAAAAACAAACATTAGATGGGGCTTAATGAGGTTGGATATCTAGACATGTTCATCTTCTCTACATCTTTGTCATATGTGACTCTCTACTTTTCACAAGCCATGGTCTAGCTTAAGTTGAGGTGGGATATATCGGGTTTGTTTTCTGGTTTGTTTTTGGTGGGGTTTCTTGATGATGATTCATATTGTTGTTGCTTACTCATATCTATTTTTCTCAAGTTTTAGCATATATGTCTTTGTATTTGTATTGTATTGCATACCCGTATCTATCTAGCTTTTCGAATCCCGGCTTATCTTGTTTTATAACTTTCACACACTTGTTAGTAACCAGTGTCTTTACGTAAACAGCTTCTCTGCTCTTACCTCCAAGTGGGATATACTGGGCTCTTATAGTTAGCTTTCATAAATCTTTATAAGTTGAATGCTTTATTGAAGATAATTTCACTCTTTTTTGCTTTTTCTTGAATGGCAGTGGTTGTTCTTCTTGATTATGCTTTGTTTTTTTGGCAATACGATACGACTAATGTTGTGATGTTCTTACGAATCTCAGGGTCTTTGAAGAACTTGTGTTTCATAAACCGTTGTTAGTTCTAATGCAAGGGCAGAAGGGCGGTAGTATTGGTTCTTTACCAGAAACCTTAGGCTTGGAACATGGTTATACTTCAAGTGAATCTTCAAGTGTAGTCGAGCAGCAAATTTGCTGGAATAACTACATACGGAATCCTCCAGCAAACTATATCTCGCCTACTAATACAAGTGATATGCATACAAATCAAGAAAGTCAAAATGTAAGCATGTGGACCATGGGTGAATCCAGTTCCAGTTCTGTGCCGAACCAGGTGGGTCTGGGTCTGGGTCTGGGTCAGGGTGACCATGGGTGGCCGCCTCTAATGAAAGAAACACACCAACATGAACCTCCTGCTGCAAGTATGCTTTCATTGGGTGATGTTAATATGAACATAACCCATAATCATGCTAATAATGGTCATCATGATCTTTTGTTTGTGCAGACTACTGCTCCTCATAATGTTACTGTGAATCCATCGACTTCTATTGGCATCAAGCCTTCAAATCATGCCGAAACTTATGTGGGTTCAAATACTACTAGTTCTACTTCTTTTTCCAACCCTTTGGGACGACAATTACAATTACCCTCTAAAAGAAAAGCAGTGGAATTGGGTCAGGGATCGTCTTCCGGGGTCGGAAGTTCAAGCATGTTTCAGCGGCCCGAGGGGAGTACGAGTATTTGGCGTTCGGTTACGGAACGTTCGCCACCGGTTAATGTAATGCATTCGGATCAGATTATTCCGAGACTTGGATTGGGTGTTCCTTCTGATAATCATGCGGTGGAAAACACTAGTCGTAGAAACGTTCGAATAAGGATTAATGCTTCCCGCCAACAAGATCCATTGCCATTGCCGGCTACTAATAATAGTAATTTGCAATCGAATCTTTCGGCTCCGTTTCCCTCTTTGAGACTTAATCCAGTAGATTTAAGATCATCACCACCGGTGGCAACAACGGTAGAGAATTCATCAAGTCAACCTACATTGCAGCTCCCGGCATTGAGAAGGAATTTGCAAGTATCGTCTAGGTGGAGTAGGAGTTTAGGCTCCTCGAGAGCTAATCGTCCGGCGAATATTGATATTTCGGGAGATTACATTAGAACAAATATTTCGGATCATCCTATATTTGTTCAGCCAAATGACATTAGAAATGCTGCAATTAACTGGAGTTTGAATGGCGGTGGAGGGATTGTAGGCAACAATGGAAACGGTGATGCTGCCTCTACTAGAACCCGCTCGAACTCTGTGCCGGCTGCATCATCCAATTTGGGTCCACATCGTAGTTCTCCTTCTAGAAGACTCTCGGAAATTATTCGTCAGTCTTTATTGTCCTCCTCCATAGATTCCGGTGGTGGTGGAGGGCAAGGCAGTAATCTTCTCTCTAGAATCCCACCGGCTGCAGGTACTCCGTCACAAGTTGGTCGTCATCATCATCTACCTCACCCGAGATCCTCAGAGAGACAGCTTGATGGTGCTTTCGGATTCCCCTATCTGGCACGATCAGGGGCTGCTGGAAGTGAAGGAAGAGGCAGACTAGTGTCCGAGGTGTGTTCCATAATTACCCCCTATTCACCCATCGTTTAATCATAACATCCACAGTGAAAACAACCCTTTTTCATGAGAAAAAAAGTGAAGGTATCCTTGTATTATATTGTGTGAATAGTTACAACATTCACACAATATAATGTAACTGAATATAAAGGTTACAATATTCACACATTAACGTAATAGAATAGCATTTTACTAGAAGCTTTTTCCACCGACTGTTAGTGTCTTTGTTTTGTGCAGATTCGCAATGTCTTGGATCTTATACGCAGAGGAGAAGGTTTGCGATTTGAGGTTCGTTTCGAGTGTTATTTCCAGAAAAAAGAAGTATATGATCTTATGGATGTCATTTCTGATGTAGTTTTATGTTATCGTGTGGCAGGATGTTATGATCCTAGATCAATCGGTCTTTTATGGGATGGGTGATAGGCACAGAGATATGCGGCTTGATATCGATAACATGTCTTATGAGGTAAAAAGGAAAAGCCAGATGTTTATATTTTTAGTTTTCGTCATTGGTTTGTTTAGTTGAAGTTGGTCTTGAATTCCAGGAGCTACTGGCGTTAGAAGAGCGCATTGGAAGCGTCAACACTGGATTGACCGAAGAAACCATTTCCGGATGTCTTAAGCAGAAAACTTATGCCACCGTGCCAGATGCTGAACCGTGCTGTATATGCCAGGTAGTTTCCTTTTCCATCTTTATGCTATCTGTTAGCTGATAAACTAGCATTTAGAAATGGTTGATATATATATATATATATAATGATTGATTCACCAGGAGGACTACAAGAATGGAGATGATATAGGAGGATTGGAATGTGGGCATGATTTCCACAGAAGCTGTATTAAGAAATGGTTGGTTCAGAAGAACTTGTGCCCGGTTTGCAAGTCGGCCGCGATTGCTGCTACTGCTACTGCTACTGCTGCTGCTGCTGAATGAGAGAGAGCTACTGCTACTGCTACTGCTACTGCTACTGCTGAATGAGAGGACAATTGTTTCATCAAAATATGAAAGAAAAACAAGGTAAGATGGGTTTTTGAGGCAGACAATAAAGGAGACAGGGGTCATGTCTGAATGAAAGGTAGAAAGAAGTAATGGCGTTTATTTAACTTGTTATCAAGATTTTGTTTTAATTTTATCCTCATGGAGTGAATGATTAATTGAATTTTTGGTGAAATGGGCATATTTTTCCATAGAATGGTATGAGATTACTTATAAGATGAATGAATGCAGCTTGCTTGTTGGTTTGCACCTTAATATCATGGCTTATTTAGGTAGAGGGAGCTTTCTGTAAAAAGCTTTCAGAACTTGTCACTCCTAAGTTGTTAAATAAATGATAACCGTAGGTTTATGATTGGTACAACATGATTTCATCAACACTCATCAAAAAGTATAGAATTTAACTGCTCCAATCGGTATGAGCGACGTAAAATAATGGAAATGATGTAATCATGTCATGTTATTGATTTAGGCTATGTTTAGCAAAAATTATGTTTGGTAAAAATTAGTTGATAAGAACGTAAAATGATCAAAAAAGATATCTTGAAAAATTAATCAATTATATTTTTTGTAAAATATAATTGAAATAAATCTCTAATAATATAATGTATTAATTAATACAAACAAAATGTTACAAAAAAAGTAATATTTGATTCAAAGAATTTAAAATTGACTATTATATATTATAATATCCGAGTTTGTTAAAACAAATTTTATAAAATTTATATTTAGGGATGGAAATGGACCCCGACCTGTCGGGTAACCCGGTCCACCCGCCCCGGTCGGGGACGGGGATTCCCCGAAAAATCGGGTTCGGGGACGGGGACGGGGACGGGGATCCCCGCTTGGCGTAAGCCGGGGACGGGGACGGGTATAGCACTCCCCGTCCCGCCCCGTACCCGTTTTATATATGTTTTGTATATATGTTTTATATATGTTTTGTATGAATTTGGACTTTGGGCTGTGAAAAAAAAAAAGTAAATGCATCTTCTCCTTCTTCCAGTCTAGTCCATGAGTACGAATTCACAATTACAATTTCCTAATCATATTCCTTCCCGGTTCCCGCATCCTCCCACCCCATTGCCATCATATCTTGTCATTTAGGATTTGTAGTTAAGCAGCCTTTTCTTATTTGTGAAACAATAAAATGTTAACCTGCAACTTAATATGATCTGACCAGTGTATAGCCGTTCTGTAAAATCCAAGTTATGAATGATAAAGTCTGAAGATCACGGAAAAAAACAGATGCCAAGTTCATATTATTTGAGGATACGGCACAGGTATTCACGATTCTGAGATCTAACAGAGTCATGATGGAAAATTTAATCACGTTGTTGTCACCTGTTCGATTGAACCTTTTCAACGTCAAAGTTGCTGCCCACATTGGAATCTCATATGTATACTAGTGTGTGAAGCAAGAGTACAAGTTTTCACAGTATGCACATCCTTAAATAATGTTTACTTGTTACTTGTCAAGTGTATGAGCATCAGAATATGCATCTGCCTGCGGATTCTCTGTAATTTATGACCTTTTTTTTGGCATTTATGGCACATCCTTTTTTTTTTGGCATTTTTGTACAAATTAGGTTCTTGTTGACAATTGATATCATGTGCCTACAGCAGCAGCAACCCTTCAAATTGCAATCACAATAATAGGTATAAATCCCCGTTTCCCCGTTGGGGATCCCCGTTCCCGTTGGGGACGGGGATGGGGATGTGATCATAATCTCCGGCGGGGATGGGGACGGGGACGAGGACACATACGGGGGATCGGGGACGGGGACGGGTATTGAGGTCCCCGCCCCATTGTCATCCCTATTTATATTATAAGTGATTTTGAATAACATTACGTATATTATAAATATAAATATAAATAAAAATGGTCAACTTCACATATTTTAATTAATTAATAATTTTTTTAAAAATACGTTTAATAACTAAATTAAATATTTTATTAAAATTATTTGACACAATATTATTATCTAATAGAAGGGTACTCGTACAATGCAGTAAGATACATTTTGATTTTAATGTTTCTTGTTTTTGTCTTGGTCAATATTATAATACGGTTTTATGTGGTTTTGAGAAAACGATAAATCTTTTTATTTTGAGTAAAATATAGACGTGAATATATCATAAAAAATTTAAAAAAAAATTGATATTAGTTCAGACTAACTATTTAAAATTTCTCATTTTCTGTATATTTCTTTAAATCATTTTTTATTTTGATTTAATAATATAATTTTTTATAAAGATAATAATCAAGTATTTTGTTAGAAGTCAACGATTATTATAATTATATATTATATTTTAAATGATATATTTATCCTATATTTGATAATGTTTATATGCAGTTAGTTATACGAATTCAAATATGAAACTTTAATAAGTTGTGCTTACAAAAAATTTATTTGTAGTATTCAAATTTAAGTAATATGTATCAATAAACAGTATTTCATACATAAAGAATGATGTTTAAGAGTTTTTTGTCAAATGCTTTATAATATAGTATAGATGAAGCAAAGTAAATATATCTTTAATTTTGATGTTACATAAATATTTTTAAAATTATTATATTTGTATTTTGATTACTGAATAATAATAAAAATATTTATAGTTAATAATTATTGTGAATAATTAATAAATAATATTAACATATAATGTATAGTTAAATTAACTAGTAATTACTTTTCAATTTATATTAATTAATATTCTTTAATAATTAAGATTTACTAATATTATAATATTTAAATTTTATTATTATATATTTATAATTAATAGTAAAATGGTATATTATTTTTATTTTATAGATTAAAGGATTTATTCATTCAAAAAATTCTAGCAATTTAATTGTTCAAATATAAAAATTCAATAATTAAAAATAAGTTGGGTTTTTCATATGTTTTTTCTTCTAGAAAGTATGAGGGAAAATGTAATCTTCTACTGATTTCTAGATTTGTTAAAAAATTCGGTTTCATTATTTTAAAGATAATCATCTCCAACCAACCAATAAAATAAATTGGTTCTTTTTATTATATTAATAAATATTTCAAAAATAGACGATTTTTAAGTTGAATGTAATATTTTTTGGAGGTTTTAATTTTTAAGTTGAATGTAATATTTTTTTGGAGGTTTTAATTTAAAATTATTATGAGATTTTATTTTTCTATTTCTACTTTAAAGCAATTGTAAATAACTATTGACATAGTCTTGTGGTATAAAAGTATTTTTAACCGATTTTCTTCAAAATAAAAAATTAAAAGTCAAAATCTTTAAAAAGATCATATTTATCTCCAATAATTTCTCATTTTGAAGAATTCAACTATGACCGTAATATTAAAATGTTTTATTTATTTATTAAAATATAATTTTTATCTGTAAATATTTATTTTCAAATTTTAAAAAATATATTAAAAAAATAGAAAGGCATCTGCATAATGCAACGAGATATATCTAGATTTAATTTTTCATTTTATTCATTTTCTCTGTCGATATAATACGGTTTTATGTAGTTTTAGAAAACGATAATATTATTATTTTTGAATGGAATATAAATTTGAAAAAGAAAATGTATCAATATTAGTATTAAATTAATTATTTAAAAATTCTCGTTTTCTGTGTAATTTTTTTAATTCAATTTTTATTATAAATTTAATTTAGATTTGATAATAAAGTAATCAATTTTTGTTTAATAATATAACTTTTATAAGGATGATAATTAAGTATTCTGTTAAAACTTAATAATTATCCTAATTATATTTTAATTTTTTTTATTTAAAATAAAATATTTATCGTGTATTTGATTATGTTTATCTACAGTTAGTTACACGAATTCAAAAATAAAGTTTTAATAAGTTGTACTTATACACAATTTACTTGTATTGTACTATTGAATTTTAAGTAATATGCATTAATAAATAGTACTTCATACATAAAAAATTGTTTTTAAGAGTTTTTGTCAAATGCTTTATAATATAGTATAGATACTTATCTCATATGGTAATCATTTTTGAAGTATTCTCCATATTTAGAAAAAAAACCCTTCTATCTCCTACTTTCTTCTTTATAATGTCTCAATTTTGTTTACGGTATGGTATTACTATTTTTTTGTATATCGTTTATCAAATTTGTATCATGCACCAATAAATCATACTTGATTCCAAATTTTTTGGGCTGATACATGTATCAACATCATAAAAGTTGAAGTTGTAAATTTGTTTATATTGACATCTTTACCAATTAGATCTAAATGTACTAAAATCATCAAGCATTCAGTAACATGTTGATATGTGTTGTACCACTTATCTTTACCTACACAAACATTTTGATAACCTTCATATATTACAAACATTCATTAAAAGTTTAATACAAGCGGTCATTGAGGAACGACGATGGACCGTGGAGGTGCAAATGAGTTATTGAAGTTGTTAGGTTTAGGCGAATGAATTCAATGTATATCCATTGATACTGTAACTTAGCAAAACTGAAAGTAATATATTTTAAAATTTAAAGTCAAAATATGGTGTATTGTTCATCAAACTTTAATTAATAAATTATTAAAAAATAAGTTGGTACGATACGATATTACCGTGGTATACGGTTTCTAATACCGTGTATCAATCAAGTTTAGATAGTTGATATGATAGTATCAACTAATTAGATTGATACCGACTAAATTGTATTGTACGTTGATACAAGAATTGGTTGGTTTGTTTCGGTATAAAATTAACTCGTGCCAACAAATTTAATGACCAACAAGATATGTGTAAAGAAATACTTCTTTTTTCAAATTTAGAGAGTTTGCTATTTTTCCTGACTCTTTTTTTGCAAAGAGTCTCTTTTAAACTAGTTATAATTTTAGTTACTGTGGTTGCTATTTTGCTTCACTTTTAGTCAATATGGTTACCATATTGTTCCAGATTCGATCCATCTAACTAACTCTATTAAAAAATCCTTTAAGTAAAGCTATTTTGGTCTTTTTATTATTTTTTATCTTTTTGTTTTGTTAGGTTCTTTTTAGGTACTACTAAGGTACAAGAAACAATAAAATAAATCTGGTAAGACAATATGAAAGGTTCATTTGTGGCAAACTGAATCCTTGTCTGAAGTACGTTAGCACTTTAAATAGGGGTGCCCAAAAAACCCGACCAACCCAACCCAACCCAACGTGAAATAACTCAACTAGAAGCAACCCGATGTCTAATCGAGTTGTAAAATTTTCAAACCGTAGATATTGGGTTGATATTATTTGAA